TTGGCACTGGTGCCCATGGGGTGGGACTGGTGCCCACACAGAGCCCGTGGGGTGGCACTGGTGCCCATGGGGTGGCACTGGTGCCCGCCTGAGCTGGTTCTGGTGGCACTGACCCTCCTCTCCCCCCCAGGCATCTTTGCTTACCTGAACTACCATGTGCCCCGGACCAGGAGGGAGATCCTGGAGACGCTCATCAAGGGGCTGCAGCGCCTGGAGTACCGGGGCTACGACTCTGCAGGTACCCCCGGGCTCTGGGGGGCTCTGGGGGCTCTTCCTGGGGTGCTGGGGGTGCTTCCTGCCACCCTCTGTGGCTGAGGAAAGCTGGGACACAAATTGGATGTGCCCGTGGTCAGAGGTTTGGATTGACCTCAATATACAGATTTCTATAAGCATCCTTGATGTTTGTTTGGTTGGGTTTTTTTGGGTTGGTTTTTTTTTCTTTTGTTCCCCAAGGGTTTTAAAAATACTGACACGATGCAAAGCGAAAGCTTAGGTCTAATCTAATCTTAGTTCTAATCTAAGTTCTAGTTCTTGCCTTTATGTGGCAGGCCAGCTCTTGAAAGAAGGGCTCAGGAAGAATCAAAAAGGGCAGATTTTTTTGACAGAAAATACTGAAAAACCTGAAAATACAAAAACCTCTGCACTCTTTCTCCACGTGCAGAAGTGATTACAGTATTATTAATATTGTAATATTATTACAGTAATCGTATGACAGTGTTATTAATACTGTGCTAACTCTTTCTCCATGTCCCACGGGGTCCAGGTGTGGGACTGGATGGAGGAAATGACAAAGACTGGGAGGCCAATGCTGGCAAAATCCACATTATCAAGCAGACGGGGAAGGTGAAGGCTCTGGATGAAGAGGTTCACAGTAAGTGTCTCCCTTTCCTCCTTTCCCTTGTTTCTGGTTTGAATATCCCCTGTTTTAGCCACAAACACGAATTTCCAGAGGTGTTTGAGGGGTCAGTGCTCAGGGCTGAGCTGTGAAGAGCCTGGTGATCCTCTGGCTGTTGGTGTGAAGTCACAGAGAAATCCTGGTTTTTCCAAAGCAAATGATTTGCAGCCTACTAAAGTAAAACAGACCTGAAATACATCGTGGGAAACAGGAAAAACTCCAAAACAACCACAAAGCTCCTTGAGCTGGGGATAGAGGAATTAGCAGGACATAACTATCCACACCTAGAGCTTGGGCAGAAGGAGAAACCTGTAGCAACCTTCCCCTGTTCCCTGTAGGAATCTCTTTCTGCCCTTTATTTAAACCTTAATTCATTAAATCTGAGCTCAGTGCAAAGATGCACGAAGGTGTTGGGAGGGGAATAGAGGCTGTCTGAGGGTGGGAAGATCTTTTCTTCTCAGCTTCACGTTCAGAAGCTGCTGTGTTGGTGAAATTGGAGTCTTTTTAACCCATTCCTGTGCTTACCTGGAGCACAGAGTGCTGAGTGTCCCAGGGGGAGGTGGGTCAGTGTAAAATCGGTGTAATCTCAGTGTAAAATCAGTGTAATCTCAGTGTAAAATCAGTGTAATCTCAGTGTAAACCAGGAGCCAGAAAGCCCAAATGTTTTGGTGTGTGGTACAGAAACAGGGGATGGACAGAGCATTCCTGCAGGGAGGTTTGAAAAGAGTGAATAAAAGAAAACATCAGGATACACAGTTTAAAAGAGATTGTGGAAACACTCGTGGAGTAAGAGGAGTACTTTTCCCCAAGAAATAATTTTTCCCAAAGAAACATTGATGCTCATGGTAGCTTTGGAGAGACAGGGGTCATTCAGGGATGCCTGAATCACCATGGGGGTGTGCAGGTGACAGGAGGGCAAGGAGCTGCCCAGGCTGGGCTTCTCCCTTTGGGGCTGCTTTTTGTTCTGGCACAGCGAGGAGTGCAAGGAATGTTTTCTGTGTGTGTCCCTCAAACCCCTCAAGGTTCTGGTTGATGATCCCAAAGGCCTTTTCCAGCCCTGATTTTCTGTGTGTGTCCCTCAAACCCCTCAAGGTTTTGGTTGATGATCCCAAAGGCCTTTTCCAGCCCTGATTTTCTGTGTGTGTCCCTCAAACCCCTCAAGGTTTTGGTTGATTATCCCAAAGGCCTTTTCCAGCCCTGATTTT